AAAAAATGTTTCATGGTAGGGTAATACTTATTGAGTATGCTGTTACAATCATGTGCAAATGTTTGAGCACCCCCAGTCAAATTACATGTGTAGTTAACACCCCTTCTACAAAGAACATACTTAAAATATGCCATTTTTCTGCAAATTCAAAACATACCGAGGAAAAACATGCTAAATAAAATGTGTCTGAACTTTTTATGGGCCACATAAATGTTTCCTAATACGTTAAATTCAGTAAATAAACTGTAACTGTGTATTAAAATGTGCAGAAGTGTGTCTCTGTAGAGGATTTTTAAAATTACTCACACTTAGACAATCAACACAAGTTGGGGTTGCTAATTATCAATTTGTGCTGACCATCCTGAATGCTGGACATGCCTCTCAGCCTATATTAACCCCTCCCTCTCCTTTTCCCCCCTCTCCCCTCATTACTATAGCTAATGGAACCCAAACTGGAGGAGGGTCTGGAGCGGCATGCCAGACGTGTGGAGATCCAGGTCACTTCCAGAACGAGTGCCCAGTAATGGAGGTAGACTAGGAACCAGAGGGTGAACCCCAGTGGAAATGTGCCTTCATTACAGCTCGAAATGTTTGTCCAAACTCAGTTATACTTTCCCAAATATCTGTTTGAATTCAGGTTCAGGTCAAATATTCAGGTCTTTCAAAGCGTGTCATGCACCTTTATCCGATTTTGATTGTCACCATTCCGTTCATGCTGTAAACCATGATGAGTTAATTTTTTTTACATACCTTGCTTACGTGCCTTACGTGCCTGAGAATGAGCCCTCTTAGCCTCTTTGCACTTAAAACGTTTTAATATTGCACATAAATTGAACCATCACCATTTTATTGTCAAGGTTAAATGCTAGCACTGTTATGAAGCAACAGGTTTTGGTACAATAAATTCCAGCTGCTGTTCATCCAATGAAATGTGGTCATTGTCTTCAAAAAAAATGGACAAAGCAGAAGTGACCACTCAAAACAGCTGCTGTGACTATATCTAACGATTACTACACGCCTTAACAAATTAAAAAAGGGGAATTACATCAATTTTTCAAAAATGTTGTATAACTCAGTGTGTGAAATGTAATCAGAGAGATTCAGAGCGGTTTGGTGTGAAATGGTTCAGATCTCTTTACAGTGGTGGTGATAGGAACCAGGGGTCGCCATGACTACAACACAGATATAGACATTTTATTTACTATCCAGAACCACCAGTGAACCTACACGAGTCTTCTGAGTTTATATGAATGTTGATGATGGAAAATAGTGGAAAATCTGAAATAATAAGTTTTCTTTGGGGACTATTTTGCCTCACAGCGCCCTGCATGTATCCCTCCACCATGAATGGAGTTTAAGTTCTCTAAACTATCATAAAACAGTGTCTCAGTCATCAGGCAGTGAATTCATAACCATTTCATGTAGGAACTTTCTGTGAGGGAGCTTTCAGAGGTGGACGTCTGGTTCCTATCACCACCACTGTGAACAGTTCTGACTCTGTAAGTTTATCTAGAACAGAGCGTTTCACACCAAACCACTCTGAATGACTCTGTTTACATCTTAACCATTAACTGTGCAAACAGCTGTGGAATTCCATTCCATAAATCCAGATGAACAGCAATAGTAACCTTAAGAATAGCTGGTAAGATATTCATCTGTGGTTCTGTTGACCCTTTTGACCACTTTGGAGCCGTTTATCCTGCTGAGACTGAAAGCCTTACCTCAGTCCATACTTTTGGTACACGTGTTTTACACTCTGTTCTCAAGCACAACACACTGTATATGTTTAATTTGATTGTTTATCTGTTTTTTTTTCTGACAATTTTTCTTAGACTGCTGATGTTAGACACTGACCCCCGTTTTCTGACCCCAGTCCCTTAATCTCATTGCTTTATTGTAATTCTGTATTGTAATACTGCACCATCTAGAGGAGAATGGGTCCGTTTTGATATCTTGTCATTGCATAATATTATTCAAATAAAATTGAATTGGATTTCACACAGCTGTGTCACTTTGTCATCTTTACACAGGGTCAAGTGTTAATTAAATGTTTCCTGAGCACCTCAGGGAGCTCTGAGCCTCATACATCAAAACACACTTTCTTATCAGAATGTGTCCAGAATAAGGTCTTCAGTTTGGTTATCTGGGCTTCGAGTGAGAGGTGAGGCTTGATTTAGTCAGTATCATCAGGATTTTTACTTTTTATTGTCCAGCTTTCACATGCACAAAGCACCTCAGGAAAGACCACAGCCTGGACAGTTCTGAGCTTTGTTAGCAGAATCATTACATTTGGTGTTTCTTGAAGATCTGCTTTTTCTTAAAGATCTGTTCCTCTCAAGCTCCTTCATTGTTCTTCTGCTGAGTTCCAAGTAGAAGTTAGTATTTGGGCACATGTGCGCATGTGAGTGGAAACTCGAGAGAGTCCTTAATCATGGGTGGAGTTTCCTCTCAGGCCAGGAAGCATCGTAGCTAGAGCTGCCACCCGTGCAGGATCTTACACAAAGTGGAGGCTATTTTGTGACCACCAAATGAACTGGAGAGGTAGTGTGAGTTTTGTTAGTTTTTGATTCTTGACAGGCTGACAGTCCATCACAGGGCAGATACACAGGCATATACATTCGACAGCCAATCAGTCTTTGAAGAAAACAGACAGATGCTAATGTAACCCACCCAAGAGAAGAAAAAAAAGTTATAGCAGA